TCCTACCGACTGCTCCAGTTAAAATCACTTCCTTGGAAAGGGATTTTTTAAAACAATTTTTATTTCGATTGATATGGATTTCAGCTTCAAGATACAACTGTTCGGTATTACATGCTTGTAAGAATATATACTGAATTAATGCTGATGAGTTTACATGCTATCTGTGAAACTAAAGAACATTATGTACCTCGTAAGCATAATTCGATATTTCCTTATGCTTAGCTGCGAAATAGAATATCATGAATTTGTGAAGTTGGCTCAATAGGATATCATAACTATAGTTGAAATAAACAAGACCATAAAATTCAATCAAATGAGCATTGTCAAGGTGAAAGCTACTAAGCCTTCGGAAGAAACACGAGGATAAGATTAAAATACTCCTAAAGAATATCATCGAGAATTGCATTTCAGGAGAGGCAGGAAAAAAAACTAGGCAATTGAAAAAAATACACAGCAAGCTGTGGCAATACACCAGAAAATTACAAGGAAAATGAATGCGAAAGAACATGGTTCAACAGCAAATGTGAGGAACTCGAGAAGAATCACGAGACCTTCGACTTGAATAGCACAATGAATAACGCAGCAGGGTGACGAAAACAACAGCACCATGCAATAATCATAGAAGGTAATAATATTTATTCCAGTTATTCTGGTTATTCTAAAAGTGAAAATTTCAATGTTACGCAATGAAAACAATGGACACAATTGTTTTGAGATAATGAGGTATGGTTAAATTAAATAAACACACAGTTTAAAACAGTGTAGGCTCCACTCAATTTCATTTCCCATTCCAGATTAAGTTACGTAAATTTTCAACTTATTTCGATGAGTCTACCAAAGGCTTAACAAGAGATCCAAGCTTTGTACAACAAGCAATCAAACTTTTTTTAAATGTTTTTTCTGAGGATTTTTTAATATCTTTTGGTAAGGCATTAACCAGTTTTGGACCAGCGTAACTTATGATATTTCTAACTTAGTTTTTGTATATTTTAGGAAATGACTCCCATGACTTCCCTCCCTGGATCCGTTCTTGGATGGAGACTTTCTTGAGGATAAACCAGTGAAAGTTGATAAAACACATATTGAAGACAAAAAGTCAGAAAAACTGACAAAAAGTCAGAAAAACTGACAATGAGGCAGAAATAGACTTACTTCGGACCCCAAAATATGTAACAAATCACAGAAAAGAACGAAAGTTAGATAGGTACAAAGTAAATAGCAAGCTGGAGAAAATGGACGACATTCCATAAATATTTCAGTGCGGAACACACCATTCCTATATTATTATTTCAATTGTGTTTTGCGCATCATTTCTAAAAATAATTTAAACATGATTGATTTATTATCGCCTATGTACTTACTTAGTATTTTCATTGCAACACGATAGATCTCTTGAGTACTATGGATGACTTTCATAATTTATAATAAGATAACTTAGTATTACTGAAATAATTGGGCGAATATTGACATTTATCTTTTATGCTCCATTAACTTAAAATTAACATTGCTGTTTTGTTATCGAAATTTTTAAAAAATTGCAATATATTTAGCAAATCTTTCACAATTTTATATTGAATTTTACAAGTGTCACAATATTTCCGTAAAAATTAAGAATAGCACTCACTACTAAGACTATAAATTGTGGCTAAGTGATGCTTGTATTGGTTCCCGATTTCTCAACAGACAAACTGAAATTCAGAACAAATTAATTTATTAGTCAAACAAACTGAATACTGCAATAACATAATGGTGGTACAACATGCAACTCAGGAGAGGTGGAGATATCAAAGAAAAATACATTGAACCACTCTGTTATAACACTTCAAGAGACAGTTGTATTTCAATGATACAATATTATTTTTTATAAACTGCTTGCTGGGTATTTCGCCTCAAAAATTTTTGTCTTTAAAAAAGATAGCATTTCCTCACGTCTTTTATTGAGTAGTAGAAGGATAACGTCTTTATAAAATGAATCCACCTCAGCAATATAGAACTTAGATACAATATTAGGTATTATATATTTTTTTTGCTGTTTGCAGGGATTGTAAGCAATCCTTGCCTGTTATTTTTTCATTTTTTCCTCTTATTGCTATTTTATTTGAAATTCCATTCTATTCAAACATCCTATTTGAACAAACAAACTACTTACTCATATTTGTAATGTGTACGAACAATTGTATTTAATTTAATAAATAGTAAAGTAGAGTAGAGTGATTAAATAAAGTAAAAAAAGTTATTCGGCAACGAGCTACTATTAATAAGTGTATTTTAATCTGAACGGAGCGGTGGTCATTCTGTTATCTACAACCATGAATTGAATATTACAATTTACTAATTGTTTGAGTGTTCCCGATCTTCAACAACAAAAACAGCTATATTAGAAAATGTGCTTCGTCATTTATCAAGCAAAACAAAAGGTACTTCAAGTATGCTGTTTGTTTTTCAGATAAATACTAATCAGGCGTAAGTTTGATCATGTGTTGGAACGTTTCCATTCATGACTTTCCTGCCTGAGAATAAATGCATTCACATTTCCTCAATTATTGCTGCCTTCCTATGAGCAGATATATCATCAGTGGTGTTCTTATTGTATTCGTATTAACAGTCTTTGTTAATTTTTAGACCTCTTGTTGACAAATATTTATTTTGTGAGGAGCAACTRTTTTTGGGAAACCAAAAGTAGAATTGAACAAAYTTTRAACTTTTTTCAAACTGGAACCCAATTCTTAGGTATTTGAATTTGAACAAAGAAACAGTAAAGTAAAATGATAAGAAAATTTATCGAGGCCGGATGTTGCTTAGTTACTGAACAAGCAYTTAACTAAATGTAAATGTATTCATTGAAGATAATACGAAAAACTTGTCGAAAATGTTTCATAGTAGGTATCGTACTTAATATTTAAGGATTTTTTWAAAATTTTCATTCTCAGGCTTTCATTCATTCGGCTGGCTAATCTGGTTCAAAACTTCTCCTCATTTTAGTTTCTTTCATTGTTCCTATCTAAGCATAGTCTGGTTGGATTTAGACTATAAAATTATCACTTTACTTAAGAGAAACAATTTTGAAGGAATGAACAATAAGCAATCAGAAACAAAATACTCTATTACATTTTTTAATTCTCTCAACGATTCATTCATTTTGTTCGCTTTTTAAATAACGGAAAACCCTGAATATTTGTTTCGAAGGATACGGAAAAACTGGGCAAAAGGCAAAATAAAAACGGACAAATTTGTAAATGCATTGATTAAAGAGGGGAAGGGGGTCTGTAGACACTGAATAGAGTTTTGATATAATAAAACAGTCTACTGTTTGGCAATTATGAATAACATCAAAAGTGAAATAAAATAACAAAATCTAATTGTAAGATTGTTAATGTTAAAATAATATCTGGCAACTTTAAGTTCAAGAAATTATTGCAGCAATTTCTTTCCGAAGAGGCATATCTGGAAAACCTAACCGGAAGACTTTGTTTGGGTCGCACCAATTCTGCTGTAATTTCTTGTATTTGATTATATGATTGTAACAATTTTTTGTCGTTGATTTAAAAGCCGTGTAAAAGCAAAATAGCGTAAGTCGAGTACCTTGCAAATTGAGGCACTGGTGTCTTAAATACTTTTTTAATTTACAATAATTTTAGTCCCCTTCTGGAGAATGCGCTTAAGCAATTCCCAGTTCGCCATTAAGGTAAGATATTCACATATTGATGGAGCTTGGTTTTATGGAAGCGCAACAAATCTAGGTGAAGGCGACAGAAAATAATAATAAGGTTTTGAAAAAAAGATGTATGTTTGTTGTTGCTATGAAGAAGACTGTTGAGATTGTGAGATCCTTGTCTGTACTCTGTTTGCAATACGCAGGATACAGATAATTATATAAATCAAATAAGAAAATTGATTGATTGAAAAATTCCATCCACAATTTTTGTGTGTGTGATATTTCCTTGATTTAAAAATTCGTAGTTGAGATAAAAATATGTCAAATGAATCTCAATTATTTAAATAAGGGAAAATCTGAAATCATACTTTCTTTACGAAAAATCCTTTCAAAAACTTAATGAAATACAAAATTGTTAGTTATTTTGATTTAGTATGAAAATAAAGTTTAACGTTCTTTTTTGAAATTGAGAAAACTGCTCGCGAAATTTTTCGATGCATAGTTCTTTAAATGCTGCAAATTTGATTAGCAGCACTTAAGAAACTTCTTTCAAGTAATGAAATAAGGCAAAAGAAGCTTGTAGTCGTCGCTACTTTTTCTTATATATTAGATCAAGTTTTTCTAAGTAAGATATGAACATTGTTCGGATTTTCTATGTTTATACATATTATACTGTATGTCCTTAGCAAGCTTTCCAGTTCTGATATATAATTCAATTTAAGATATAATTGAAAAGAAAATTACATATTTTTTGAATTAACTGCAGAAGAGGACGATTTTGAACACTTTCATCGTGAACTAAAAATTACTTATTGTTAATGTTAATGCAATACCATTTGCCCATTTTCTCTAAGCTTCTTAAAATAATTCATTCAATTAAAACTTCAAAATCTAATCGAAATTATGTACTAGAATTTACCCGAAAATTATGTACTTTCTATTATACATTTTTGTAAATACATAGCTGATATCATGATATTTCATTTAATTTCGAAGTTTGAACGCGAGAACATATTTTTTAGACCTGCACTCAAAATTACTTTAAACATTGAAAGCTTCTAGAATTAAATGCATTTAGTACTGCGGTTCACTATGCTTTTCAAATTGATCGCGAAATGCACCGATAATTGCATTAGCTTCGTCCAACTGCTTCTGCAGTTTCATTGCTTC